GTTAAACCGCCCATAAGAACCATATTTTGACTTTTATCTGGAGAATATCCAACAATAGCTTCCATTGAATGAATAATGGATCCAGATCCTAAAAACAACAATGCTTTTGAATAAGCATGAGTAATCAAATGAAATAAAGCGGCTCGATAAGAGCCCATACCTAAAGCTAACATCATATAACCCAATTGAGACATTGTAGAATAGGCTAAATTTTTCTTAATATCTTTTTGAGCAATAGCTAAAGTAGCTCCTAATACTACTGTTATTATACCTATCAAAGCTATTCCACTCATTATCGAGGGTATAACTATGAAAAGAGGAAGAAGTCGAGCTACAAGAAAAATTCCTGCTGCTACCATAGTAGCAGCATGTATAAGAGCAGAAATAGGAGTAGGACCTTCCATAGCATCTGGTAACCATACATGAAGAGGGAATTGGGCAGATTTTGCAACTGAACCACAAAATAACAAGAGGGCACACAAAGTAACAAAAAGAATATTTACCTCATTCTTATAAATTAAGTTCTTGAATATTTGAAATAAATCCCTAAATTCCAAACTACCGGTTATCCAATAAAAACCTAAAATTCCTAATAATAAACCAAAGTCCCCTACACGATTCGTTACAAACGCTTTTTGACAAGCATTTGCCGCAATAGGACGTGTGAACCAAAAACCTATTAATAGATAAGAACACATTCCAACCAATTCCCAAAAAATATAAACTTGTATCAAATTTGAACTAGTAACTAATCCTAACATTGAAGTATTAAAAAAACTCATATAAGTAAAAAATCTCAAATACCCTTGATCATGAGACATGTAACTATCACTATAAATTAGAACCAGAATACCAACAGTAGTGATTAATATTGACATAATAGAAGTAAGTGAATCGATCAAGTAGCCAAATTCTAAAGAAAGATCATTATTTATAGTCCAAGACCATACATATTGATAGATAGAACTATTCTCGATTTGCTGAATAGATAAATCGATCGAAAAAATCATAACTATGGTTAACAAGAAAATACTAGGAAAAGCCCACATACGGCGAAGATTTTTTGTTGCCGTGGGAAAAAGTAGAAGTCCTACCCCTATTAAAATAGGAACTGGAAGAGGGATGAAAGGTATGATCCATGAAGATTGATGTGTATATTCCATACAAAAAGAAAGAATAAAAAATATTTAGATTCTTGATGAATTTTGTTTCTTATTCGTTTGTTTTATATCTTTTGTAAAGGGGCTCGGTTAATAAAAAAGTGGATATAGAAATAGAATTGGATATTCTTAATTGTTCTGAATCTTTGCACAATGGTCCCCATATTGGAAAGTACAAAGTCAAAACTGGCCAATAACAAAATTCCTAGTGAAAAAAATAAATAATAATTATTATTTTCAGTATTTCAGTAATATATTCATTAATTAATATTACTATTAATTCCTATGTTAGGTTAGTTATTTTTTAATTTATATATATATTAAGAAAAATGACTATTAATAATTGTAAAATAAAAATTTTTATCTCTTATCTATAGAGCGAGGATGAGGATAAATCAGTACACCAAAACTAACAACATTTGTTTATTTTGATATACATTAGAAAAATAATATAATATAAAATAATACTTTTTTTTTATTCAGAAACATTAGTTCCTTTTTGAACTAATTGATTCTTTTACATTACAATAAAAAGAGATCCATATATATCTATTATCTATGAAAAATTTGGAAAAGGTTTATAATATTCAATGTTTTTACTTTACCTTTCGATGGAAAAAAAGAGAAAGAGTTAATTTAGATAGATAAGACATACGGCTAATTACAGAATAATTCGTTTTCATTTACAGAACAAATGTCTTTCACATCAAACTATAGCAACGAAAAAACTATACTAATTGTATGCCAGTTCCAAAAAAACGCACTTCTATATCAAAAAAAAAAATTCGTAAGAATTTTTGGAAAAAAAAAGGATATAAGGCAGCATTGAAAGCCTTTTCATTAGCTGACTCTATTTTGACAGGTACCTCAAAAAGTTATCGTATTGTAATAAATACAAAACCTCGCCCTTTTTTGCCACGTAATCAAAAAAAAAGTTGTGTTATTGTAAGAAATACAAATGTTGGACGAGAATAATCTGAATTAGCTCGATTCAAAGAGTATTCTTTAATAGTCATTTTATACTAATACTATTATAGAATATGAAACATATATAAACATATATTTAGAATATATTCTATATTATAGAATATAGAATATATTCTAGATATATATATAATCTCATTTTTTTGAATGATTCATAAGCAACTACAAAAAAAATTTCTTTTTCATTACTGGATTGAAGTCAGAACTAGATAGTTCTAGTTTCAACAGTGCTTTTTTTTATTTGAAAAAGTATAAACTACAAAAAACCCATTCCCCGTCGTTGTTAAATTTGAAAACGAACACTGCATGGGAAAAAAAAAAAGAAATGAATATAGAAATCAAAACTTCTTTTACTTAAATTGAAAATGATTGCATATATCATATATTTCTATATTCATTTCTATTATATATTAGAAAAAATTAAATTACTTTTTATTATCAATTTAGTTTTATTATCAATTGAGAATAAATGTTTAGTAAATAGTAAAGAAATGTACTCAATAAATATTGGACTTCACTTTATTCAATCTCGACGATTGACTATTGACTTTGACTAAATAATTGGTTATTATGATTTCGAGTCAGCCGCTATGGTGGAATTGGTAGACACGCTGCTCTTAGGAAGCAGTGCTAGAGCATCTCGGTTCGAGTCCGAGTAGCGGCATGGACTCCTACCCGATATTTTAAAAATTTTACAAGATTAATAAGTCCTATAATGAAGTCAATTTCCTATTTCTATTCCGAGTAGTAGATATCTGGCTACGAAAAATAAAAAAGTACGATCAAAGAAAATACAAAGAAATGGACCATATTTTTTGATAATGTATCTCAGATAAATTTTGACTATTCTTACCTATGAACTCCGCTAGATTCAACTTTTTGGTCGTTCAACCAACTAATTGAACCATTTGAATATTGTTGAAATATGAACATTTGTTATTGCATCGCAGAAAAAATCGAAACAAACTAGAATCATTCATTTTCATACTTCCTAGAATATACATCGATTCCTTTTTCATCTAGAAAGAGCATATCTCTGTACGCCTAGATAAATTATGTATAATTATTAAGACCACTAATCAATATGTATCTATTCCTCCCAATATTTGATTTTTGAAAAGAAATATGGGAATAGATACTCATACATAATGAGTCGCCGGGAACCAGATTTGAACTGGTGACACAAGGATTTTCAGTCCTTTGCTCTACCGGCTGAGCTATCCCGACCATTAAAATCTTGACGCACCATCCTAATTTGAGGGAAATTACTTGAGTCTATGTCAACTCAATAAAAAAAAGGGAAAGGGCCATAAAAATGAGCAAATTCAATCGGCTTTTGGGGATAGAGGGACTTGAACCCTCACGATTTTTAAAGTCGACGGATTTTCCGATTACTAAAACTTTCATTGATGTCGGTATTGACATGTAGAATGGGACTCTATCTTTATTCTCGTCTGATTAATCAGTTATTCAAAAGATCCATCATATTTTGGTGGAGTGACTGATTTGATCAATGAATATTCACCATTTTTTCTTCCAGTTGGAATTGATTTGATTCTAATGTTTCGTTTCAATTGTGATCGAATCAAAACTAAAAAAAATAGTTACAATTTACAAATAGAAGTTAGAAATCTTCATTAATCAATTGAATGTTGTCAACTCCATTTGTTAGAATAGCTTCCATTGAGTCTCTGCACCTATCCTTTTTTTCTGAACTTTTAGTTTTTTGTTTTCGGAAAGAAGGATTTGGCTCAGGATTGCCCATTTAAAATTCCAGGGTTTCTCTGAATTTGAAAGTTTTCACTTAATATGTTTCCATACCAAGGCTCAATACAATTAAGTCCGTAGCGTCTACCAATTTCGCCATATCCCCCGTTTGACTTGCTTTTCGTTCATCTAGAAGCTATATTTATTTAGTCGAGAAAGAATTCTCTTCTCGCTGTATTATATAGTACATGTTGTATTAAGTTAGATGCTGTATTATATTATGTTATGTTTTCACTTAACATTACTATGTTTCCATACCAAAGCTCAATACAATTAAGTCCGTAGCGTCTACCAATTTTGAATCGACCCTTTGACTAGCTTTTCGTTTCATCTAGAAGCTATATTTATTTAGTCGAGAAAGAATTCTATTCTCGCTGTATTATATAGTAGATACTGTATTATATCGTACCGTATTCTATTTGAGATGTTGTATTCTATTTGAGATGTTGTATTCTATGTTGCAATTGGATTAGAATTGGAGTATAATAATATTGAACCATGACATAAGATAGATATCATATTCAGAGAATATGATTCCCTTTAAGGATGCTTGGTGGTGAAATGGTAGACACGCGAGACTCAAAATCTCGTGCTAAACAGCGTGGAGGTTCGAGTCCTCTTCAAGGCATAATATTGAGATCTCTTATTGAAATTGAATTGGAATAAGTTCGCCAGCAGATCACGAAGTTTTGGTGATCTTATCTATCTAATGAATGGAGAGTACATTTTGAAATCGTCCCACCTGCAATCCCCCCCTACCCTAAACCAACGGATAAAGTACATTATATATTTGATTTTGGAGATTGGTGACTTACCCATTCAATGACTTTGGCACTCGACATTCAAAAAAATGGGTACTGTACGCTCGGGTCGGGTGAATTCCAAAATAGCCGCCTATGTCAACCTTCTTTCTCCTTTCAGGACAGGACCTATCCGAAAAGAAAGAAAATTCTGTACTTATTGGTCGTGAATATCTGAATAGGACAAATTACCCTGTGGATCTCTTTATTTGCTTCAAAACAAGTAGGCTCGGTCAACGGCAATATGGATTATCAATATTAGGGGATCTTTCAATTGAGAAGATCCCCTAATATCGACTTGAGACGACGAGAAAGAAAGTATCTATTTTATTTCATTTCATTATTCAGTTAAACCAATCGTTCGTTATTGGAACAGATAGTCACAACCATCTCGTCTGGGAAAAGCCATTTTTTTTCTCAACAATGTCTTTGTGAGGTTGAGCCAATAGGGTTTCCGTTAGATAGGAACAGATTTGATAAATATTGATAACTCTCGTATAGAGTATTAGAACGAAAAAATTCATTTGATACTGAACTATTGGTTCTAAACCATCTCTGGCGATCAATCAACAATTTGAAATTCTGTTCTTGCATATTCTTCCTAACCAAGGGTTTATTTAGATATTTCCAATCAATTTTTTGGGTTTGGGAAGTCAAAAGTATCCTTGACATCTCTTCATCTGGAGAAAATTCTTGATGTGAAAATACAGATCCAAAAGGATCCTCTTGGAATAGCAAAAACAGTGGATCTGCGGGGGTCCCAAATGAATTGGCTTATTCGAAAAAAGCCCTGTTCGTTGGAAAATCTCGCTCGTGTCTGGTCCTGCATGATTCCATCCTGCAAGAACTGCGAATCATTATCATTCTCTTGAAGCTTACCCTCTTCATCATAATCATCAAGGATCGGTTTGTCCTGAAATGACCCTTCCCAATAGGGAAATCTCAATTCATTGGACCCTTCGTCAAAGAGAAAGCCCCAAGGGCGCCACAGTCTCGGAGCCCAAAGTATGTGATTGAATAAATCCTCCTCTAGCGGTTGCGGGTCGAAGACTCCTTCCCCTTCTTCGAACCCCGATTCATATTTTTCATAGAGAAATCTCTGATCAAACGATAGAAGAAGACCCATTTTGAATCATATTTAAGGGATTTCTTGGTTCGGACCGAAGAAGAGCAATGTCACGCCATCTTATCAAACCGACTTCCTGTCTGTGAGGGTTCCAGCAGAGCACCTTCTATTTCTAATAGCCCTTGAACTAGATCTAATCATTCTCAAGGAGTCTATAAGAAGTGATCCCATCATTTGTTATGAGGTCCGGGTAGAGACCAAAGATCTTGAGCGACCGATCCGGCAGAACAACTCAAAAGATAAAGAAGTATGGTTAATTTCTTCATGCTTGTTCCAAGTTGGAAGTACCATTTGTACAAATAAGAATCCCCCTCTGCACATGATTTCTTCTTCATATAGATAGATATAGGATCGATAGAGCAATTACTTAGAAGTAGATTTTGTGAAACAGCCCTCCTATCTGATAAAAAAGGATCCCATGATCCTGAATCGATCTTATCTGAGATCTAAAATCCCAAGTTTGTCTATGAAGAGCAGATCTAATTATATTAGTGTCTATAATAGATTTCTTTTGTATAATACTAATCGATAGCGCCTCATTAGTAAGTGCTACAAGATCTCGTACATTAGAACCCAGAGTTATAGACCCCAATCCATTAGTATCGAATATTTGCTTTTCCAAGTGAAATCCCCTAGTATATGAAAGAGTAAAAAGTGCTTTCTTTGTTGTGGAATAAGAAGCCTTCGTATCTTAATGCATGTATTTAATTTATTCGGAGCTATTAAAGCAGGGTCTACTTTTTTTGAATATGAGTAGAAGCAATAACTAGAATATTTCTAGTAGAACCTTTTTCCGAATCGCTGGAAAGAGAGTTCACTAATATACCCAGCGATAAGTCATTCGACTCATTCCTATCCAGATCAAGAATGTTTGGAATCCAAATTATGCAAGGAGACATTGCTTTTGCTAATTCGAATTGAAGCGTGAGATAAAACCGGTCTATTTCCATCAGATCGCTAGATACCGGATCCTCCATACTTAGAAACTTCAACTGGCTATCAAGCTTACGGTCGAGATCGTCACTATCATCCCTTTCATAATTCTCGGAATTATAGCAACTACCCTCGTTATTAGGTAAAAGACTGTAAATGGTACCCTCTCTTTCATCAAACATGTCGTCCTCACTATCATCACTATCAAAACCCTTAGGAAAGTTCTCCAGGAACTTGTTTACAAATACTGTAATGATAGGAACATAGGTGGTTGTCGCTAGATATTTGAGCAAATAGGATCGTCCAGTTCCTATCGAACCTATCACTAAAATACCCCTAGCAGGGGATAGGGCTAAGCGTAGCGAAAAGGGTTTCCCATGAGATGATAAATCCAAACAACTAGCCCCACACGGGATTTCTGAATAAGTGATTGTCTGATAATGAGCGAGGAATACCCGTCTTTCTGCTAAGCAGGATGTATTGAACTCATAATTCATCAGATCCTTTTTATGAATGTCAATTAAATATCGTAAGTAAATTGTTCCTGGTTGCTCAATCATTTGATAACCAGAGTTATTCTTTGATAACTGATCACTATTAGTCAGACTCAATAAAATTTGATCCAGCCTTTTTTCTGTCGTTAAGGTAGAGAACTGAACCAAGAATTCTCTTTCTTTATCAGCAATGAAATCACTAGTCGAGATCCAGGATTCTATTTTATCATCAATCCAATTACTATTCATGTTTTTTCTTTTCCTTATCAATGAATAGATTGCTTTACTTGTATGACTTAAATGTCTCGTATTTCTCAAAAACGCGATTCGATTGATGGGATTTGGTATAATACTTATGAGATCCATGAGATTAAAACCGTTCTTCTTCGAACGTATGGATTTGACCCATCAGCGAAACCACCACCCCTTGGGATGTCCCCGCCAGAAGGCCAACCTCGCCTTTCTTCTAAAAAATTTCCTAATTGTTCTCGAGCAACTCCAAAGATATCCTTTAACCAGAAAGAATTTTGTTCTGATAGAGGATACCTATCAGAAGTTTTCGCAATTCAATGATGTAGGATGGAATCATCAAAGATTTGACCTGTTCGAACTCTGTCTGTAACTCATTAGAGAAGCGAGAAACAAAGAAAAGATGTGTATAAACAAGATATCCAGTAACAAGAAGAAGTAAAAGGATTGAAACCAGGAACTCCTCAATATTTCGTGATCTCAGATGTGTCGATATGAATGGTGACTCATTATTTGTTGTGAAAAAGATCTTTGTACATGTCTACAAGAAAATTATGGAAAGACTTACTCGAAATCTCACTTATACGATTCCGTTGTGAAAGACACAGTTTTTTCCGAAGAATTCCCCACAGTTTTTTCCGAAGACTTCCCTTGGATCCATGCATAATATTCTGCCAAATAGATACAAATTTTTTAAATTGAGGACTCCTCCTTAGTATCGCAAATAGGTCTGAAAGAGTATCTAAAAATATGAAATTGATATATTTGTGCCCTGTCCAGGTAAGGAACAACGGTATTATATACGGGCGTAATCGCTTCAATTTGGAGAGAATTGAAGAAATACTCTTTCTTTTTCTTTTTCTTTGAAAGTTTCTATACATCTGCCCTTTTCCAAGGAATTTTTTTAGAGGTTTTTTTCCTCTTTGCGGATGGTATAAATTTTTCAGAATATAGAGTGTCAAGCAAACCCAACCCATGTTTGAATCGAAATCAAGATACTGATGCAAGTTCTTCCTTTTTTGAATCAGATAAATTAATAGGGGGAAAGAGGTTGACAAGAAGTTCTTTCCAAATTCACTATTTCTTCCTCTGTTAGAGGTGTTCCAGAAATGTCCGCGATCGAGTAAATAGATCTAGGAACACGAGTTGAAAAATGGAAAGATTTGTACAAGTCATATCCGTCATCACCACTTTGCGGAAAATTCTTCGGTCTCAATATCTTAGAGACCTCTAACTCGCTGGTGAAATAGTATCTCTGTCCAAAAAAGCATGTGTTTTTTTACCGCCGCACAAAGAAAATCTTTTCTTTCGAATGAACAAGACATTGAGGAATTGTTCATACATAAAATCATAATTATAGGACCTTTCCCCATAAAAAGAGAATCTTTTGTTACAATCGAAAGAGAAGTTATATTGATTATTCAAGAATCGAAGTCGATTTACTTTATAAAAAGAGGAAATCAATGAACTTCTATGAAAACATTTCACAGGATTCAGCCAATTGTCTTGGTTTGGTATCTTATTGAACAAAAATGGTAATATTGTTCCTTCATTGATCAAGAATTTTGATTTTTGAGAAGTATAATAGTCATCCAATAATGGGGATTTCCTTTTTTTTCAAATGAACCGTTTGCAGACCTATTGATTCTAACAACTGATTCTCGAGTGCATCATTCATACGTTTCATTCATACATATGGCTCTGGGACCTATGAACGGGCATACTCCCGAAACTCACAAAGAAAAAAGGAAGTGAGTTAGACAAAAAGGGAAGAAGCTTGGACAAAAAGAAACAAAGTGACTTAGAAAAATCTTTTTTGTCGATAACCTCAGCCCAATCAATCGAATATGCATTCATATGTAATCGATCGAACACTACTTTAAAAACGACTATTCTGCTCAGAAATGAAATGGTCCAAATGTTCCTGGAAATTTGTGCTCCCCTTGGACCATTTGTATTTATATGCATTTGGATCCTTATTCACGGATCTCTCGGTTCGATAAATAAAAATAAGACGATCAAAGCATTTCTTCTGACTCTTTTTCAAATTTGAGAAACGTTGATTGATCGTGTGTTTCCTTATAGGTCTATGATTCAGAATATCATTTTGATACCTTTGAAGTACATATTCGAAGTTGCGATTGAATCGATTACCTTGAAAATAATTCCCACAAGAGGTCTGGACCCATTTTTTTATGATCTTTGGATAAAAAGATTCATTCGCTTCGTCAAAAAAGCCGCGGCAGAACCAATAAAGATTTTTTTTTTGATTCCGGTTCAGAAAACCCAATAGAAAAAGAGAATCCATTACGATAGACCAGATCCGGCTTAGTTAGTGATAGATTAAATAGATTTGCCATTTCTTGAAATCTCTCTTCTGATTGAAAATTGCGATGTAACAAGTACCCCCCCCTATTCTGGTCATGGAATAGATGAAATAAACCAAAAACTAGATTTTTGGTCAAGAATGAATTATTATTTTGAACTGTCAAAAGTTTCTCCTTTGCAATCCTATCACATCCTCCATCGGATGAAATAGGATGAATTGAGACATTATTTTGTAAATACATGATTATCTTGACTATATTGGCTAGTTCTTTCTTTTCCAATTTCCTCCAAAGAACAAAAGAAACATCTTCTTCTTTCTTTAATAATTGAAGATCTTGAGCGGACTTCTCAGTAGGATTCAAATCCAGATGAAGTTGGGACCATCTGTCCGAGAAAAAAGAGCGATCAGAGATCTTTTTTTCTTTTGGACCAGACAGGAGCGGAACAATCAACCTATTGATATTGAACGAATCTTTTGAGTCTTCCAATCTATCATTGCCGGATCCAATGGAATTTATTTGTATAGGAAGAAGCCCTGTCAAATAAATATTTTTTTTTTCGATCATCCTTCGATTGTTAATACGATATAGAAGGATCGCTACTACAAAAAGTACTACATTCTTGATCGTGAAATATCGATTTCTTGTTAAACCCTGTGACTGACGTGAAACTAGGATACTCCAAATTCTGGAGTCTAAGACTTTTATCAAACTCTCTTGATGCAAAAAAATGTGAATGACAGATATCGCTGAATTGAATTGCGTCCAGGAATCTAAGAAATAGGCACAATTCTTGCTCTCTCTAAAAATTTCTCGCAATTCGAAAATCCAAAAGTGGAATTGATTGTTCTTCATAGGATCCTCCTTAAAAAATTAAAAATAATTTATCTCTTTATGTATGTATTTCTATTAAGTTATTTATTTATGTATGTATTTCTATTAAGTTATTTCTTTATGTATGTATTTCTATTAAGTTATTTATTTATGTATGTATTTCTATTAAGTTATTTCTTTATGTATGTATTTCTATTAAGTTATTTCTTTATGTATGTATTTCTATTAAGTTATTTCTTTATGTATGTATTTCTATTGATTTATCCAAAAGATTTCACTTCAATTGAAATTTGGTTTATTCATCAAGTCGGAGGGTTGTTCCCTCGAAGCATCCATGGCTGAATGGTTAAAGCGCCCAACTCATAATTGGCGAAGTCGTAGGTTCAATTCCTACTGGATGCATGCCAATAGAAATATCTCCCCTAAAAACTATATTTTTAATCATGAATTATTATTTTGAACTGTCAAAAGTTTCTCCTTTGCAATCCTATCACATCCTCCATCGGATGAATATAGGATGAATTGAGACATTATTTTTGTAAATACATGATTATCTTGACTATATTGGCTATTTCTTTCTTTTCCAATTTCCTCCAAAGAAAAAAAGAAACATCTTCTTCTTTCTTTAATAATTGAATTTGAAAATAATAGAAACTTCAAGAATTGATCATTTCTAAATAAAGAAAGAATTTCTTTATTTATTCTATTTAAATAATTTCTGATCTGTAGTAGACCTCTTAGCTTAGTAGTATTTGAATCGAGACTTGGATCTGTATCAATGGAATCTCATCATCCATACATAACAAATTGGTGTGGTATATTCAAATTTTAATAAATGAACAGTAAAAAAACTAGTATTTTTAGTGAGACTAGAACTCATCGGGAAGAAAGAATAAAATAGATTTATGAATGGAATAAAATCTGCAGTATTTACAGACACTAAATTTTCGTTATTTCGAAAAAATCAATATACTTTTCATGTCAAATCAGGATTAACTAGGACAGAAAGAAAACATTGGGTCGAACTCTTCTTTGTGTCAAGGTAAGAACTATGAATCAACTCGCAATCCCAATAAAGGGTAGAAGGAATACGACCTATTATGGACATACAAGGCATTACAAACGTATGATCATTACGCTTCAACCGGGGTTATTCTATTCCACCTCTTAGAAAGAAAATAACTTAAATAAAAATACACATCATAACATGGCGATACATTTATCCAAAACTTCTAGCCCGAACACACGCAATGGAGCCGTAAACAGTCAAGTGAAATCCAATTCACGAAATCGTTTGATTTCTGGACAGCATCATTGTGGTAAAGGGTCGTAATGCCAGAGGGAATCATTACCGCAGGGCATAGAGGGGGAGGTCATAAGCGTCTATACCGTAAAATTGATTTTCGACGCAATGAAAAAGACATATATGGTAGAATTGTAACTATCGAATACGACCTAATCGAAATGCACACATTTGTCTCATACACTATGGGGATGGTGAGAAAAGATATATTTTACACCCCAGAGGGGCTATAATTGGAGATACCATTATTTATGGTACAAAAGTTCCTATAAAAATGGGGAAATGCCCTACCTTTGAGTGCGGTTTGAACTATAGATTTACGTAATTGGAAGTAACCAATTAGGTTTAAGGCGAAACCTAGAAATCGATCACTGATCCTATTTGAGTACCTCTACAGGATAGACTTCAACAGAAAACTGAAGAGTAACAGCAGCAAGTGATTGAGTTCAGTAGTTCCTAATATAAAATTATTGACCCTAGAGATATAGTAATATGGAGAAGACAAAATTGTTTCAAGCACCGACAGAACACGAAGTGCTCCTCGTTTCAAAAAACAAAGGGGGGAAGACACAGATTATTCACATTTCATTTGATGGTCAAAGGCAAATTGAAAGCTAAGCAGTGGTAATTCTAAGGATTCCCCCCGGGAAAAAATAGAAATGTCTCCTACGTTACCCGTACTATGTCTAAGTAGCAACGTAATTTCATAGAGTCATTCGGTCTGAATGCTACATGAAGAACATAAGCCAGATGAAGGAACAGAAAGACTAGGATGTAGAAGATCATAACATGAGTCATTCAGAATATTTGGATTCGTTATTTATATATCCACTCATGTGGTATGGTACTTCGTTATGTCATATATAATATACGAAATAAACGATATATAAGATGTATCTGTATAGATATTCTAATCTACATCCAGAAAGCCGTATGCTTTGGAAGAAGCTTGTACAGTTTGGGAAGGGGTTTTGATTGATCAAAAAGACGAATCTACTTCAACCGATATGCCCTTAGGCACGGCCATACATAACATAGAAATAACACTTGGAAAGGGTGGACAATTAGCTAGAGCAGCGGGTGCTGTAGCGAAACTGATTGCAAAAGAGGGGTAAATCAGCAACATTAAAATTACCTTCTGGAGAGGTCCGTTTGATATCAAAAAACTGCTCAGCAACAGTCGGACAAGTGGGGAATGTTGGGGGTAAACCAGAAAAGTTTGGGCAGAGCCGGAGCTAAACGTTGGCGAGGCAAGCGTCCTGTAGTAAGAGGGGTAGTTATGAACCCTGTAGACCATCCACATGGGGGTGGTGAAGGGAGGGCCCCAATTGGTAGAAAAAAACCCTCAACTCCTTGGGGGTATCCTGCACTTGGAAGAAGAACTAGAAAAAGGAAGAAATATAGTGATAATTTGATTCTTCGTCGCCGTAGTCAATAGTGGATAGTAGAGAAAATAGAATTTGTTTCTTCGTCTTTACAAAAGAAAAGAGCGATTGACTATGACATTCTATGATTTTCTTTTTTGAGAGATTCTATATTTTAAAAAGAGATTCTATATTTTAAAATTGGAAATAAAATAAAAAATATAAGAGAAAAAATTCATTTTTTTTAGAAATTTTAAGAGGAATAATTAACTATGACACGTTCACTAAAAAAAAATCCTTTTGTAGCGAATCATTTATTAAGAAAAATAAATAAGCTTAACACAAAAAGGAGAAAAAGAAATAATAATAACTTGGTCCAGAAGATCTACCATTCTACCTACAATGATTGGGCATACCATTGCTATCCATAATGGAAAAGAGCATTTACCTATTTATATAACAGATCGTATGGTAGGCCATAAATTGGGAGAATTTTCACCTACTCGAAACTTCCGAGGCTTTGCGAAAAATGATAATAGATCTCGTCGTTAACATTCATTTTAACATAAATTTAGTAATAGTCATTAATAAATATTAATTAATAAATTACTCAAAAAGAATTGTATTATTCTGCAATCAAAAAAACAGATTTTATTTTTTCGTGAAAATAGAACCAATACAGAGAAATATAACCCTTTGTTCAAAAAATATTTTTGTCTATTCACACCACAAAGCGTGAATGGTAATTAATAATATTCAAAAATTGAAAGGGTTATTATAATAGAACTAATGCTTTGCAGAAAAAAAAAGATATATCAAGATATTAAAAAAAATATATATATATAGATAAAAAAGTAGACAAATCAGACGTATTATTTTATATAGAGTAGTGAGGGATTATGGGACAAAAAATACATCCGCTTGGTTTTCAGACTTGGTACAACTCAAAGTCATGATTCTATTTGGTTTGCACAACCAAGAATTTATTCCGAGAATGTAAAAGAAGATAAAATAATACGAGATTGTATCAAGAATTATATACAAAAAATACAAAAAACAACAACCGCTGTCGATGGCGAGGGAATTGGACGAATAAAAGATTAAAAAAAACACGCCGATCTGATTCACGTGATAATCAATATGGGACTTCCAAACCCAAACTTAGTAATAGAGGATAACCCTGAAAGAATGGAAGAATTACATACTAATGTGCAAAAAAAAATAAATTGTGTGAACCGACAAATCAACATTGAAATTACAAGAATTCCAAATGTTTATAGAGACCCGAATATTCTTGCAGAATTTCTAGCCAGACAATAAAGAATAGAATTCCGTTTCGTAAAGCAATGCAAAAAACTATAAAAAAATTCGCTGAAGAGGCAGGTGCAGGTACAAAAGGAGTTCAAATACAAATTGCGGGACGCATCGACGGAAACGAAATTGCACGTGTCGAATGGATCAGAGAAGGTAGGATTCCTCTACAAACCATTCGAGCTAAAATTGATTATTGTTCCTATCCAGTTCGAACTATTTATGGGGGGGAACTATTTATGGGGTCTTAGGAATCAAAGTTTGGATATTTATAAACAACGACTAATAACCTTTTCCTTATAACGTTCCATCTTTTGAGAAAACAAAAAATGACGAATTCTTACTACGTTCTTATTCTCAAAGAAGAAATGAAAAATTTTAAAAGATTAAATAAAAAAAAATTAATTAATCATTTTATAATGAAGGAGTTGCTATGCTTAGTGTGTGACTCGTTGGTTTTTTTTTAGAGTGGTTAATTTTCTACAAAAATTCGTCGAATTAATTACTAAAGAATAAATAACCTACTCATCGCTTCCCATTATCTGGATATAAAGAACCGCCGAAAATCTAAAATCAAAATAAGGATCTATGTGATGATATAATTATAGCAACTGAAATAAAAAAAAAAAAATAAGATTATTAGTTGTAAAGCAATAAGAATATACAGATAAATGAAGGGGTGAAAGAAAGATAGAAAAAGGATATCAATGATATAGAATTCTCCTATGTAAAGGTCTATGGGTCATCTCATAAAAAGTAGTGTAATAAAGCATCAATCTTCAAAATTCATCCATATATGGATGAATATATTCCTAGAATAAACGAATCAAGAGCCACGAATCAAGAAAACTGAGAAGGTTGATTCAACAAAAAAGAAGAAAATAAGAAAATAAAAAAAATGGAATCTTCTTAATTAAAGAGGCTCCATTGTAGAATTTAGACCTAACCATAAATTGAAAAGCGATGGGAACGACGGAACCTGTGAATACAAAAGATTATATTAAAATTTGAAATCTTACTGATTCATTAGATGGGATGGCGGAAGGAACTAAGAATTCATTCTTTTTTGAGGAGTTGTGGACTAACCCTACATTACATCTTCAATTTAATCAATTTATAATGAGAGAGTAAATATTCGCCCGCGAAAATGTGGATTTTTTTGGAATTGATAAATTTTTGCCAATCCAATATGATAATAATAAAAAAAGAAAAATACTGATTCGTTAGAACCTTATATCCAAAAATATTAGCTAGTTAGATACGGATAGCAAAAATGGTCTATAAGAATACATATTTCGTTATATATCAAAGCAAGATTAAAAAATTTCTAATAGATCAATAGATTCTATTAAATGTAAAAAAATCCCGCGATTATATTCTGTTGTATCTTATTGTAGTAATTATTATTATTTTCTCGATTCAATATTTTTCAATCGATTTATTCGCGAGGAGCCGTATGAGGTGAAAATTTCATGTACGGTTCTGTAATAGAGATGGAATTGAGAAATAACCATCAACTATAACCCAAAAAGAACGAGATTCCGCAAACATCATAGAGGAAGAATGAAAGGAAAAGCCTCTCGTGGTAGTCAAATTTGCTTCGGAAAATATGCTCTTCAGGCACTTGAGCCCGCTTGGATCACATCTAGACAACTAGAAGCGGGTCGACGGGCAATGTCACGAAATGTTCGCCGGGGTGGACAAATATGGGTACGCATATTTCCAGACAAACCTGTTACAGTAAGACCTACCGAAACGCGTATGGGTTCGGGAAAAGGATCGCCCGAATATTGGGTAGCTGTTGTTAAACCCGGCAAAATACTTTATGAAATGGGAGGTGTTCCAGAAAATATCGCTAGAAAGGCGATTTCAATAGCGGCATCCAAAATGCCTATACGAACTCAATTTATTCTTTCCGAATAATCATTAGAACGAAAGAGATCTTTAGTATGAAAAAAGGCAATTCTCCGTTTTTTTTTTGAACACAAAATATTTTTTTTACTTCAACTTTTTGACTGAAACTGAAAGATAAGAAAAAAGGATATGATTCAACCTCAAACCTATTTAAATGTAGCCGATAATAGTGGAGCGCGCGAATTGATGTGTATTCGAATCATAGGAGCTAGTAATCGAAGGTATGCTTATATTGGTGACATTGTTGTTGCTGTAATCAAAAAAGCAGTGCCAAATTCATCTTTAAAAAGATCTCAAGTCATCAGAGCTGTAATTGTACGTACTTGTAAAGAACTAAAACGTCGTAATGGTATAATAATAAAGTATGATGATAATGCGGCGGTTCTCATTGATAAAGAAGGAAATCCAAAAGGAACTCGAATTTTTTCCGCAATAGCCCGAGAATTGAGACAGTATCCAAAAAGGAACTCGAATTTTTTCCGCAATAGCCCGAGAATTGAGACAGTTAAATTTCACTAAAATAGTTTCATTAGCACCTGAGGTATTATAATAGAGATCATGATATAGATATATTATTTATGACTTGAATGAATAGGAAATAGATTAGAATACGAATGAAATATATATTCTATATTCAAGTCAATATATTCAAAATAAAAATTCGAATTCTATTTGTATAAAAAAATAGAATTCGAATTCAATATAAGATTATATATATAGTTTCGAATAGGTCATTCGTTCATTTTATTTCTATCTTTTTTTAGTTTTAGAATATTCTATATTCGGATATTTAGATTATCCTAATTACAATCAAATTTTCTATACATATAGAGTATTATTCTATTCTCATAATCAATATGAGAGATTTGATTGAATCAAAAAATAAAAAATCAAAAAACGGGAGCACGTTGATTATATCGAAAGTAAGGAGCAAAAATCTATCGTGGGTAAAGATACTATCGCTGATATACTAACCTTGATACGCAATGCTGACATGAATAGAAAAGAACTGTTAAAATACCACTTACTAATATCACCGAAAACATTGTAAAAATTCTTTACGAGAGGGTTTTGTTGAAAACGTCAGAAAACATCGAGAAAGCAACAAATACTTTTTAGTTTTAACTCTACGGTATAGAAGAAATAGGAAAGGATCCTATAAACTTTTTTAAATTTAAAAAGGATCAGTACACCTTGTCTACGAATATATTCTAAGTATCAAAAAATTCCGAAAGTTTTAGGAGGGATGGGGATTGTAATTCTTTCTACTTCTAGGGGTATAATGACAGATCGAGAGGCTCGATTAGAAAAATCGGGGAGAAGTTTATGTTATATATGGTAATGCTAATTTTGCCGATATCTGAATTATATGAAAAAACTTAGAGCCAACAGTATTGTGAATGGAGGGAGTAGAGAAAAAACAGATTTCTAATATTATTCATGATACATTAGTGTATATGGGAAGAGGTTTTAACTAGAATAGAAATGAAAATTAATAAAGATTAAATTAATCAACAACTTCTGAGGGTATGTTGCAGGTTGAGGTTGCTTTAGAGAAATAGAATTCAAATCAGATTCTAGGTTATGTTTCCACTGGATACGACCAAAAAAAGGAAGTATAGCTGACTCCATTCGATTAGACTATTTTATAACTTCAACATATTTTTTTAGGAGGAACAATTTGAAGTTCAAAAATGTAAGGAAACCCTATTTCTTGCAATCTATAAAATTGGTATTCAATTTAATTTAAGGAGTGAAAAATATGAAAGTGGCGGCCTCTGTTCGTAAAATTTGTGAAAATTGTCGATTGATCCGTAGGCGAGGTCGACTTATAGTAATTTGTTCCAATCCAAAACATAAACAAAGACAAGGATAATATTAAAAGAAAAAAGGTCTTTCTTTTTATTTGAATTGTAATAGAATTCAAATAAAAAATCTTATGAATATTCCATTTTATTAAATACTCTATCTAAAAATATAGATTCTATATTCGAATAGAGTCTATAGTTATAAGTATTCTCATAAATATAATTGCTTATTCCTTGATATTTGAAAATGGTATTCTATATTAATTGAATTATAGAATACAATAGAATAACTAGTTAGAAAATAGTCAAGAATCGTTTTTTGACAGGAAATGGATATATCCATATATTTCGGACTTATATTTTTTTAAATAATAAAACATGGCAAAATCTATACCAAAAATTGGTTCACGTAAAACTGGACGTATTGGTTCGCGTAAGCATCCTCGTAAAATACCAAAGGGGGTTATTTATATTCAAGCTAGTTTCAACAATACCATTGTGACTGTTACAGATGTAAGAGGTCGGGTGATTTCTTGGTCCTCCGCCGGTTCATGTGGATTCAAGGGTACACGAAGGGGGACACCATTTGCCGCTCTAACCGCAGCGGGAAATGCTATTCAAACAGTAGTCGATCAAGGCATGCAACGAGCAGACGTCATGATAAAAGGTCCCGGTCTAGGAAGAGAGGCGGCATTAAGAGCTATTTCTGGAAGTCGGATACGAGTAAGGGTTATACGGGATGTAACCCCTATGTCACATAATGGATGTAGGGCTCCTAAAAAAAGACGTGTGTAAAACTAACAATAAACATTAAAGAAAAAGATTTCAAGAGAAATAAACAATTAAATCAAGAGTTTCATAAAAATATATTACTATGATTCGAGAAAAACTAAAAGTATCTACTCAGACACTACAGTGGAAGTGTGTTGAATCAAGGGTAGACAGTAAGCGTCTTTATTATGGACGCTTTATTATGTCTCCACTTATGAAAGGTCAAGCAGATACAATAGGCATTGCAATGCGAAGAATTTTGCTCGGAGAAATAGAGGGAACATGTATCACACGTGCAAAATCTGAGAAAATACCACATGAATATTCTACCATAATAGGTATTCAAGAATCAATACATGAAATTTTAATGAATTTAAAAGAAGTTGTATTGAGAAGTAATCTGTATGGAACTCGGGACGCGTCTATTTGTTTCAAAGGTCCTGGATATGTAACTGCTCAAGACATCATTTTACCACCTTCGGTGGAAGTCATTGATAATACACAACATATAGCTAACCTAACAGAACCTATTAATTTGTGTATTGAATTAGAAATTGATAGAAAGCGGGGATATCGTATAAAAACACTAAACAACATTCAAGATGGAAGTTATACTATAGATGCTGTATTCATGCCTGTTAGAAATGCAAATCATAGTATTCATTCTTATGTGAATGGAAATGAAAAACAAGAGATACTAGTTCTCGAAATATGGACAAATGGAAGTTTAACTCCTAAGGAAGCACTTTATGAAGCCTCCCGGAATTTGATTGATTTATTTATTCCTTTTTTACATGCAGAAGAAGAAAACTTAAATTTTGAAAACAATCAACACAAAATTACTTTGCCCCTTTTTACTTTTCATGATAGATTGGTTAAGGATAAACTAAGGAAAAATAAAAAAGAAATGAAATTGAAATCTACTTTTATTGACCAATTAGAATTGCCTCCCCGGATCTATAATTGTCTTAAAAAGTCCAATATACATACATTATTTGAACTTTTGAATAAGACTCAAGAAGACCTTCTGAAAATTGAACTTTTCGCGTAGAAGATTTACAAAATATATTATTCAACTTTTTACAAATCGAAAAGCATTTTTTATAAATTGAAAATCTATTGGATTTTTTTGAATCTTTCATTTTTATAAAAAGAAAGGTTCAAATATGAAATTTGAATCTTTAGCACAAATCAATATATTCAGAATAGGTCTAAAATGAAATAGATGTATCTAGGGATTAGTCATTTCAAAGTGAATTTTCCCTAGATACACAACACAATACACCTGTCATGATATTTTACAATAGAATCAATTTAAAAAAGACCTAACGTTAGGGATTTTTCAATAGGTAATGTTGCTCCAATACCCAACCAAAGAGCCACGACAGTACCAATCAAAAAGACGGTTGTTGCTACTGGACGCCGAAATGGGTTTTGGAACTTATTCACATTCTCCAAAAAAGGTACTGTTAATAATCCCGCCGGTACTGAAACCATTAAAAGAACGCCCAATAATTTATTGGGTACGGTACGAAGTATTTGAAATACGGGAAAAAAATACCATTCGGGCAATATTTCCAAAGGAGTTGCAAACGGATCTGCGGGTTCCCCAATCATTGATGGTTCGAGAACCGCTAAGCCTACGTTACAGGCAATAGTACCCAGAATAACTACTGGAAAAATATATAAAAGATCATTAGGCCATGCGGGTTCGCCATAATAATTATGACCCATCCCTTTGGCCAATTTTGCTCTTAATACAGGATCATTCAAGTCAGGTTTTTTTGTTATTGGGATAGGTGAATTCTTATAGATCCATCCTCCGAAAGAACCGGACATGATAATTTTTCATCATCCGGCTCGAGCACGAATCAAACCAACTGAATGCAGACATAGAAATTTTGTAGATGTGAGTCACTCATATATCATGATTCTATGTAATAAAACGGGTTGAATTCTTTTTTTTCCGAAATTACAACTATCCATTGCAAAAAATTAAGTTCTTATTTTTAAGTAAATGCTTTTCACCCAAGTAAGTTTTAAAATAAAAATCAAAAGTTCTTTCTGGGTGATCTCAAACCTTTCGCCTGTTATACCTCGAAAAATGAATTTTGGAATTTTTGACATAGAAAGGATTTACTTGTTACTAATAGAATACAACCCCCCTTTTTCTTTAGATCTACTTGTTTAACTCCGATAGTATCATAAATTGAGTCAATGCATAGGAAATGAATGCATTTCCATACTATGTAAGTTTAATGAAATACATACGACATAATCTAGATTATATCATATTCCTTTTTTTACTGGATATTACGGAGCCTGTTCATGCAGGATATGATCGAGTCTGATCATAGAAAAGATTATCTTCAAGCGAACCGGACTATCCTCTGTAGAGGACTGACGCGGTGGTTGGAACAAAGACACATTTCATTGTGAATTCAAATGTGGCAGATAAGATCAAGTCATATATCTGCATGGCCCAATCAATAGTTCAAGTCACACACTCCCATAATCCATTCTTTTTTCGGAGAGTTCCCTTCAACTATTTGTGTATGTCAAATAAAGAATCCAGTTTATTTTGTTAAGTTGAAGGGAAATATCCAAATACATGTCTTATTAAAGAAAAATAATGCATATTTGTAGCAATGAAATACTATTACTCCTCCCCAAAATGATTGATTACAAATCTCTATGATTCATATTCTCTATAAAGGACCAGAAATTCCTTGCTTACGTATCATTGGAAAGTGCATTAACATGAATACGGCAGTAAGAAGAGGTAATACAAAAGTATGTAAACTATAAAAACGAGTCAAGGTAGATTGTCCCACACTAGCACTGCCGCGCAATAACTCTACCACCGAGGATCCTATTACAGGAATAGCGTCGGGTACACCCGTTACAATTTTGACTGCCCAATAACCGATTTGGTCCCAAGGTAAGGAATAACCTGTTACACCAAAGGATGCAGTCAATACACCCAAAACTACACCTGTAACCCAAGTCAATTCGCGAGGTTTTTTAAAACCACCAGTGAGATACACGCGAAATACGTGCAAGATCATCATTAAGACCATCATACTTGCTGACCATCGATGAACTGATCGGATTAACCAACCAAAGTTAGCCTCAGTCATTATATATTGAACAGAAGCAAAAGCCTCCGTAACGGTTGGACGATAATAAAAAGTCATAGCGAAACCCGTCGCTACTTGGACTAAAAAACAAGTAAGTGTAATTCCTCCTAAACAATAAAATATATTGACATGAGGAGGTACATATTTACTAGTTATATCATCGGCAATCGCCTGAATCTCAAGACGTTCTTCGAACCAATCATAGACTTTATTGAGATAGGTAAACCAAGGGACCCCCCTGAGAACCGTATATGAGAATTTCATCTCGTACGGCTCAAACAAAAATACTCAAATACTGGTTATTTGGAAAACGGATACGTGTAATAGAAAGTCTTAAACTTTTTCACTTAATCCTATTATTCCAGTCTTTTTTGAAGATAAAAAAAAATAGAAATCCAAAAGCTATTCTTAGTGTTTATAATGTCAAAATTTCAAGTCGGCTCACTCGTCTTTTCTCTTGATCCTTACCGGCCTCTTGAATATTCTATTATTTACTTCATTTTTTTTGTATTGTGTATGTAATAAGATTTTACTGCTGTTTTTTTTTATGATTAATAAGAATTTTCTTGTTAAGACCCTATAGAATCAATTTAAAAACCTGAGATTCATACCAGAACCACGATGATTTCCCCAAAAAACCTTTAATCGAAGTCCATAAATTCCCTGAGTAAGAACTGCTGGATCATCATTTATTCAATTAATAGATAGAATGAAAAAAAAAAAGACAAAGAAATGATAAGCGGTGGCAGTTTTAAAGAATAAAATTCCATTTCTTTTTCTAAATGAATTCTTATAATTCTTTCATTTTTTTTCGTCCGGTTGCGAGGTCTAAATATCAATATAAATATGAAGTATGAATCATAGTTCTAACACTTTAGAATCTATTTATTTTCTATATTCCGTGCTCCAGATACTAGAATAAATATCTGACGGGGGAAAGCCATCTATCAAGATAAGATGACGTATCCATTTTCTGTTCTGTACTATCAATAGGATCCATTATAACAAGTCACACACTCATATTCCGGAAATACAGAAACAAAGAAGTTTCGCGGTCGAACTACCAAATCAAAATGGAATGGGCTAAAAATTAACGATTTAAATGCTAAACTTGACTTTTCGATTGAAAAGCTAGTTAGTTGGTTCTTGTGAATCTAATTCTCTAATTCATAGAAATTTGGTCCAGTAAAAGGGACGAATTATAAATCTCTAAAATAATAGAGAGAAATACCGCAAATAGGGCCATTGCAATCCCCATCAAAGGGGTAGTTCCCCACCCCGGAGCTACTTTACCATATTCTGAATTCAATGGTTTCAATAAATCTCCTACAACAGTTCGTCTTGGACCAGATCTAGAACTACCCTCAACGGTTTGTGTAGCCATAAATCCTATATATCTTTTTTTTATTGAGATCTGTTGACTTTGTATACCATTCCGCTGTAGATAAAGGATCGTACCCTATAGATCCATTGTAGTCTTGATATTCTATAATCATGGAAACAGCAACCCTAATTGCCATCTCTATATCCGGTTTAATTGTAAGTTTTACTGGGTATGCCTTATATACTGCTTTTGGGCAACCCTCTCAACAACTAAGAGATCCATTCGAAGAACATGGGGACTAGTTGAAGTAATGAGCCCCCAATATCGTAATATTGGAGGCTCGTTACTTCAATTGAGATAATTAAAAATCATTTTGTGTTTTTAGTTGGAACTTGAGGGGGTTCTCTAAAAAAAATAGCGAAAAAAATGATTCCTAAAGTCGAGACTAAGAGGAATGTATAAACCAATGCTTCCATAGATTTGATCGTGGTTTACAATTATAGCTTTCATACCTGTTTTGGGGGAATTATCTCCTGGATAAAGAAAAAGAAAGAACCAGAGTAAAACAAAATGGAATGATTGAAATCAATATTTCTCTAGTTCCCTATATCAAATTCAAATAACAACAAAAAAAGTCGAATCGAAAAGGAACAAACCTATTTCTATCAGACTCCCTGTTTTTTTGTAGTTGGATCTCCAAGTTTTTGGAATGCTCCAAATTCTACTTGCGCATCCAAATCTGGATCAATACCAGCAAAAACATCTCTGAACAAGGTTCTAGCACCATGCCAAATGTGCCCGAAAAAGAAGAGCAGAGCAAACGAAGCATGTCCAAAAGTAAACCAACCCCTTGGACTGCTACGAAAAACACCATCTGATTTTAAAGTAGCACGATCTAATTCAAAAATTTCACCCAATTGAGCACGTCGAGCATATTTTTTCACAGTAGCAGGATCACTATAACTGACTCCATTGAGTTCACCACCATAGAATTCAACAATTACACCGACTTGTTCGACACTATACTTTGATTCTGCCCTTCGAAAAGGAACATCCGCTCTAACAATTCCGTCTCCGTCTACCAAAACAACCGGAAATGTTTCAAAAAAAGTAGGCATACGACGTACAAAAAGTTCACGCCCCTCTTTGTCTCTAAAGATAGGATGCCCTAACCAACCAACCGCTATTCCATCTCCATTGTCCATTGAGCCCGCTCTAAACAAACCCCCTTTTGCCGGATTATTACCGATGTAATCATAAAAAGCTAATTTTTCAGGAATTTTAGACCAAGCTTCTGATAAACTTTGATTTTTGACTAGCCCAGCACCAACTCTTCGATATATTTCTTGCTGGAAGTATCCCTGATCCCATTGATAACGAGTAGGACCAAATAATTCAATCGGGGTAGTTGCTGAACCATACCACATAGTTCCAGCAACAACAAAAGCTGCAAAAAATACAGCAGCGATACTACTGGAAAGGACGGTTTCAATATTTCCCATACGCAATCCTTTGTATAAACGTTGAGGTGGACGCACACTAAGATGGAAAAGACCCGCTAATATGCCCAATGTCCCTGCTGCAATATGATGAGAGGCTATTCCCCCCGGAACAAAAGGATCAAAACCGTCCACACCCCATGCGGGATTTACAGATTGTACCCTTCCTGTTAGTCCATAAGGATCGGATATCCATATTCCAGGACCAAATAATCCTGTTACATGAAAGGCGCCAAAACCAAAACACGCCACCCCTGCAAGAAATAAATGAATTCCAAATATTTTTGGTAAATCCAAAGAAGGTTTTCCAGTACGTTCATCACAAAAGATTTCTAGATCCCAATAGACCCAATGCCAAATAGCCGCCAAAAAGCACAAGCCCGAAAACACAATATGTGCCGCGGCCACACCTTCGTAACTCCAAATACCCGGATTCGTTATAGTGCCTCCTGTGATATTCCAACCACCCCACGAATTGGTTATTCCTAAACGAGTCATGAAGGGTATAACGAACATACCCTGTCTCCACATTGGGTCAAGAACCGGGTCAGAGGGATCAAAAACTGCTAATTCATATAAAGCCATCGAACCGGCCCAACCAGCAACCAGAGCTGTATGCATTATATGGACAGAAAGTAAACGGCCGGGATCATTTAATACAACGGTATGAACACGATACCAAGGCAAACCCATGAAAATACCCCTTATATCAACAAAAAATAGACACTATGTAACTTTATTGCACTGTAAAAAACTATGCTATGGCCCTTCCCCTTATTAGTAAATTATATCGCATGAAATAATTTATATTTGTTCTAGTTTTTTAGAAACAAAGGAACATTCTATTCGTTGGAACAAAAAGAAGCAGATCTATTCTATATCCGATAAGTAACAATACGCAATGGCAATGGTGGTGGGGTTTAGTTTTTTTTTTTTATATGCGTGTTTATATCAGTGAATGCAGACACTGGATACTAATACAAGAACAACAAATCCCTTTTTTCGTCAAAAGAAAGATTCGTTGTTCGTGTATTAGACACAAAAAAAAAGTCTACGGGTCTTTCTTGGTTTAATTACAAAGATAGAGCTTTCTATATATATAGAAGACTTTCTTATACTAGAACTAGAAGCTGAGGGTTCTTTACATTCATTATTAGCTTCGGACTATAAACTGAGGATCAATGAAAATGTGAATAGGATTAATTGGTTTCTAATAATATAATTCATGAAGCAAAGAAGAATATTTCTAGAATTCAATTCGATAGGAAATATAGAAATATACTTTTTTTGGTTGTCGGAGATCCTTTTTGTTAGAATCCCCTCTTTCATTTTAAAGAATTCAATTCATTAGTCGTCCAGTAACACGTAACAAGAATAGCAGTAGAGACATATCCAAGAACGACCTATTCATCAAAACTTTCCTTTAGTCTTCTTTTTTGATGTTATTTGGCGAAATAAAAATGATTTTGAACAAAATCAACTCATTCTGTCTCCGGATGTTCTCACACCAAAGCAAAATCCGGTCGACAATTTCCATTCCAGTTTATGCCGGTAGGTGTTCCCAAAGTAGCCTTTGATGTTCCCGGCGAGGATGAAGCTTCTTGGATTGACTTATACTATCGACTTTTTCACGAAAGACTACTTTTTTTAGGTAAAGACTCGTCGGTATAATGGTATATCTAAGTTTAGAGAACAAGAACAAAGATTTGTATATGTTTATAAATTCTCCAGGCGGAGGGATTCTATCTGGAATGGCAATTTTTGATGTTATGCAATTTGTAGAAGCAGAAGTACAGACAGTATGCGTAGGATTAGCCGCTTCAATGGGATCTCTTATTTTGTTAGGAGGAGAAATTACCAAACGTCTAGCATTCCCTCATGCTTGGCGCCACTGATTCTTATTTGTAGAAAAAAAAAAGAAGACTATGTCTACGCCAGTATTAAGTCAAAAAAGCATGGCACTTTGAGTTCGATATGCAAAAATAATTTTTTTTTTTTCAAAACCATTAGATTATATATCGAAAGAGTAGTGTGAAAAAGGGGTATTTACTATTTTATCTGATCTATCGGAGCCTCTTTTAGTGTTACAATTTTTTGGACTTATTTGAAAAAAAGAAACTTTGGGATTGCTGAATCAAAAACTAGAAGAAATAAGATAGCAACGGAATCATCATAGTCTTTAAAAAAGATTCTCAAAAAAAAAGAAGGGTGGTTATTAGATTCTTTACTGATCTGGGTCTGATAAACCCGGTATATTTTTTTTTGTATTTTTTCAATGAAGGGTCAAAAAAATGAAAAATTGAAAGTAGAGCCGTATGCTATATAAAAAATAAAGAAAAAAAGAGGCTTGCCTGTACGGCGAAAAAGAAATTGAAGTTCTTTTTTCTATCTCTTCATTCTTTTTTTTTACGGTAAGATTAAGAGAAATAAACCTTAATTATAGTATACTCTCAGGGTAATGCTGCATCAACCTGCTAGTTCTTTTTATGAGGGAAACACGGGCGAATCTATGATGGAAGTGACGGAAATAATGAAAATGCAAACAACTATGATAAATATTTATTGCCAAAGAACAGGCAAACCTTCCTGGCAGATATATAAAGACATGGAAAGGGATTTTTTTATGTCAGCAGAAGAAGCCCAAGCCTACGGAATAATTGATACAGTAGCGGATTCTTTGTAAATCCAAAATTTGCATAAAATCTTTATTCCCTTTTTGATCCTAATAAATGAGAATATTTTCTTTCTACTATTTCTGATGCTTCTTTCCTAACGTACCGACTAAATGCAGAATTATAATTTGATGTTGTCTTTTATCTTTTTAATCACCCGATTTTATAGAGTCCTTATCAATTTGAAAATTATCAGGTTAGGATTGATCCAAACCAGCTCATTATGTATATGACTCCCCATGCCAACTATAAACCAACTTATTAGAAACACAAGACAGCCAATCCGGACTGTAACAAAATCTCCCGCTCTTCGGGGATGCCCTCAACGCCGAGGAACATGTATTAAGGTGTATGTGCGACTCGTTTAGATCATATACTGAAATTAAAAAATATATTCAATTAATAAGAATTGTATATATATAATTCTATTGTGTATAAAATTTATGCTTTCTCAATTGGTGCAAACCAAATTACCTTAATTTTGAATTTAAGATGAAATATACTTTTCCCATTGGTAACAAAAAGTGATCCATTAAGCGGGAAAAATCCTCTTTGAAATAAAGACAAATTATGCCCTAATTTTAGCAATAACGGACTAAGAGGGTCAACTACCCAGCTAATCTTCATACTTAAATACCGTTACTGTATAGCTAGATTTTATTGTGAAAGACCTATTACTATATATTCAATGGGTAGAGCTAAGAAGTGTGAACTGTACAAGTTCACAATAACATTGATTGAATCAAGATTCAATGAAGGAAGGGGCTCCGGTGTATAGAGAGGACCTCACCGTTTAACAAGTAATCATAGAAACGATGGAACCCACGATTTCTTTGTTTATTTCTATTTTATTTACTATGTTTTTTTGAATACCTAGTATCAATAGAAGTTATTATTAAGAGTTAAAATACTTATACTTAGAAAAAACGAAAAAAAAAAATAGTGGTTGGGAAGGTTATAGTAGCAAAAGCCATTGGAATTTATATTTTCCACATTGGAAGAATCCATGTTGTTCGTAATAGACTAGAAAGGATAAAAGAATAACTGAAAGAAAAAAATTAAATAGTTATTAATCAAAGTCTCATTTATCCAATGAACAGAATTAAACGAGGATCTATCGCGAGAAAACGGAGGACAAAATTGAGTTCCTTTACATCAGGCTTTCGCGGAGCTCATTCAAAACTTATTCGAATTATTTTCCAACAGAGAATAAAAGCTTTGGTTTCGTCTCAACGGGATAGAGATAAGAAAAAAAGGGACTTTCGCAGTTTGTGGATCAGTCGAATAAATGCAATAATAAGCCAGAATAAAGAAAAAATATACTATCGCTATAGTAATTTAATGTATAATCTGTACAAGAATCAATTGCTTCTTAATCGTAAAATAGTTGCACAAATAGCTAGATTAAAGGGGAATTGTCTTTTTATGATTGCCAACGATATCATTCAAAAATAAAAATTCCCCGGAGACTTAACTCCGGGAAGGTGGTAGAATAAAATAGATTTGTATGATAAAATAGAATTCATATGAATTAGAAAAAGAAATAATCAACCACGCTCAAAAAACAAAAAAAAAACTACCAATCCGCATAAACTTTGAGTTTAGATTCAATTAATTATTAAATTAATTGAAGTAACGTAACTCTATTTTTTTTTTTTTTTAAGAACAGGAGGAGTAGCTCTAGTAATCGACTTGATTTTTTCATATTTTTTTTTTGCATTTTTAACAAAAGGTGACGAATTTACAAAAGGTAACAAAGATAAAATACGAGCTTGTTTTATAGCAATCGTAATCAATCGTTGTTGTTTTAAGGTCAATTTATTCACACATCTAGGTATAATTTTTCCTTGTAGCGTGATAAATTCGAAAAGTAAACTCAAGTTTTTATAATCAATTCGATCCCCAGATTGGATTAGGGGCGAACTCCTACGAATTGATTGCTTCGATTTAACAAACAGTCGCTTAGATTTCTCCATGGTTTGTTTATTCCTATACCGAAAATCCCGTTTGTTTTATAAAAAAAGGATTTGTTTTAGTTATATTCTTATTTTTTTTTGTAATATATTTGGAAAATATATGCTATATAATGATCTATGTATATAATTTTATGTTATAGAATGTTATTTATATAATATAGATAAGATAATTTATCTGGTATCTATATAATTAATTTTTATGTATTTTTTCAATTTACCTCCTTAAGGGTGACACACAAGTAATCCATTTTCTCTATTTCTTGATCTCTGCGTGAATCATATGTTTGCAACAAAAGGGACAGAATTTTCTCAATTCCAATCGACTAGGCGTATTGTGTCGATTCTTTTGAGTAATATATCGAGAAATACCTCTAGATTCCTTATTAACACTCTTTTTATCACAACTAGTACATTCTAAAATAACAGTTATTCGGATATTTTTACCCTTAGCCATAAACCTCCTTTGGTTTTTTTATTCACTTAACTCTTCGATTTTAAGATTCGAAGGGAAGAAGAAAAAAGGAACGAAAAAAAAGATAAGTTGATAATTCAAAATCAAATTATGAAATATTTTGTTCCAATTAATTTTATATAGTACAGTAATAATTCACTACTACAATGCTTTCGAAATAGATTTCGAATCCAGAGTCTAGTATTTCAGTTTTTATTGAAATATCTTGTATGATATTATTGCCCCTACCCTAACAATTCCATTTCTGGTCTTACTCTTAATAATTAAGAATAGCAATGGAATTGAAGTATTAATTCAATTCCATTGAAACGAAACGTGGGAAAAATTCCAAATTTCACTGAGGCCAAATCCACCTTTCTTAATTTCCTCTTTTTTTTTTTGAACTTATTCTAGTATAATTCGAAAAAAAAAACGAACGAAGAGGGATTTAATCACAGATATTTTATTGGATCTCTAATCTTCGTCACCCCTTCCCGTGCCAATAACTAGAATCAAAAAAAAGGGAATGTCAATGCATCCGGGAATAAACGATTGATTTCTATCAAGAGACCTGCTAGAGCCGCGAACCATAAAGTACTTGCCACTGGTGCCACAGAGAGATATGTTTTTAGATCTCGCATTTCAAATCCTCCTTCGTTTTTTCTTGTAATTTGTAATACATAATAATACAGAATTACATATAGGAATATGATCCAATGTTTTTTTTTCTTAATAAAACCACTTGGATTTCTCGGGGGAAGTCCGAATCCAATTTGAATTGTACAACAATGAATTAGATCTTTTTTTATAGAGTACTATTTTTATATTCTTAATTTTATTTATTCAAATTGTTATCTTCTAATAACTATATTATTATATATTTTTTGAAATTATGAATTCTATGAAATATTAAAATAATATTTGAAATTATTCTATTTTTCATATATCAATTCTATTTTCTATATTATTTGTATATTCTTTGTTCTTGTTATTATACTTTTTCTATCTTATTATTTATAGATTCTATATATTCTCTGTTTTTCATTAATTGAATATAAATATTCTATAAGAATATTTGATTCGATATCTTATTTCTACGATCGATATAAGAAAGTAAAAAAACAAACAAAATGGCAGGATATAGATAATGGAAAAATGTGGAAAATAAGACAAAAATTCTTTAGAATGACAATGGAAACTGATGTAAAGGGATGTAGCGCAGCGTGGTAGCGCGTTTGTTTTGGGTACAAAATGTCACAGGTTCAAATCCTGTCATCCCTATCCCTAATATCATATCAGCAGTAACAAGAGATCAATTTTGAGCAATTGAAATTGTACATACATACTCAATATGAATAGTTCTCCATATTTAGTTTGTATGCATGCATGCAAGATATATTGCCATCACATCAAATTATTTAGGAAAAGAAAGCGCTCTTAGTTCAGTTCGGTAGAACGCGGGTCTCCAAAACCCGATGTCGTAGGTTCAAATCCTACAGAGCGTGATACCATTCTTCTGAGAATGAGACTAAAATAATGGGATAACAGTCTAAGTCTAATCAAAAGTGTTAATTTGATCTCCTGTGAATTAGGATTCAAACAAAAAAATAGGAAGTCAATAAACAAAAGAGACAGTACTAAATCAAATATCCAACTGATCGCCACGTCGGTATTGTAAATAGGCCGTTACAAATAATCCAGCCAAAGTAATAGGAATTAGACCTAACACGATTCCAAATAGAAAAACTTCAATCATTTGAGTTTGGTTGAAAGTAAAAAAGGTGGGGGTAATATCG